GTCCAAGTCAGATCTATATAGATCTATATTTTTTTTTTGTTCGGATTCCTTTTGAAGAGTGTTCTGCCCCTCTTCTTGTTCAATAGTCCAGAAAACTTACCTTTTTTGGATTGTTATCAATTCGAGAACTCTGTGTGACTGGTTTCCTTATTGGATTTTGATTCCTCTCTGTGGTGTGTGGTTGGGCACACTTATTCCATCGAGTTTTGGACTTTCTTAAACCTTCGGCTGCTCTATTTTCTTAGTTTTCCTTGCTTACTTTGCTGAAATGGCCATGGAGAAAAGAGATATTCTACCAGTAAAGTTCAATGGAACAAACTATGCCTTCTGAAAATTTCATTTCCAGTTCGATGTTAAAGAAATGGATTATGGGGATTTGTGGATGGTTCCACAAAACAACCAGATGAGTCTGAATCTAAGGGGCCGAAACAATGGAAGATCGACAATGTCTTGGCTTCTCGGATCTGTTGAAACTGATATTGCTATTCCAATGAGAAGTTATCGAACTGCTCACCTACATGGAAAATGTGTATCAACAGTCCAACATCTCGCGTCAGTATCAGGTAGAGACAGAAATATTTTCTTATAGTCAGGGTGAGAAGAAAATATAGTAGTACTATGCTGGTTTCATCAACTTGTGGACGGAGTATGAATTAGTTCACATGGGTGAAAACACCTCTGCTTGTTGCGTCAAAAATCTAAAAGAACACTTTGGTAAGAGGAAAATTATGCATTTTCGGATGCATCTGAGACCTGAATATCAAATTGTAAGGTCTAACATTCTCAGTAGGGGCACTCCTCCCATACTTGATACAATTTTGGGAGAGGTTCTCAGGGAGGAAACTAGACTCATTACTCAATCGACCTTGAGGTCGAAATCTGATTCAAGAGCAGAGACAACCTTTCTAATGAATAAACCCAAGCCTAAGAAGGACTTGTCTTGTGTACAATGCTATGAATGCAAGGAATACGGACATGTTGTTTCACACTACTAGAAGAAAAATTTCTGCACCTATTGCAAACAATATGGACATATTATTCCTCAATGTCCTACCAAACCAGCAAAGGATAATTGCTCAAGCTCTAAGAAGAATCAACACAAGGCTTTCCAAACAACCACTGAAGGTATAGACACAGAGAGTACAACTTCAGCTAGAATGGATGAAAATTCTAGGACTTGTGGTAGAAATAATGTATGACACTTGTGGCATAGGCGTCTTAGGCACCCCTATGCAAATAAACTTAAGCCTTTGTTTCGTGATGGTTATTTGTCTTCTAAAGCTACTTCTTTTAATAATGTTGATAAGGCTTGCATTCTTGTTGCTTGAGTAAGAGCCATATTTTACCCTTTTCTTCAGTTATTGAACATGCTTTTGTTCCTTTTAAAATAATACATAGTGATGTTTGGTCGTGTCAAGTTGTTTCCAGATTAGGATTTAAGTATTTTGTTACATTTATTGATGAATGTACTTACTTTACATGGATATATTTCTTGAGAAAGAAATCTGAAGTTTTTTCTACCTTTAAACCTTCCTAAAAAAAATCAAAAATCAATTTGATGCAAACATTGGGGTTTTCCATTCAGATTCGGAGGGTGAATACCTTAATGAAGATTTTCAAATTTTCTTGAGAGAATGGAATACAATCCCAGAAATCTTGTCATGGCACTTCACAACAAAACAGAGTAGCAAAGCGCAAGAATAAACATATCTTGAGCATAGTTCGAACTCTTCTTCATGATTCTCATGCTCCTACTTCATTTTGGGTGGAAGCGGCCAGCATTGTTGTGTACCTTATTAACATTCTTCTATCATCTGTCTTGCATAATACATCTCCTTTTCAAAGTTTGTTTCACCGTTCACCTAATTTTTCTATTCTTCATGTGTTTCGTTGTGTATGTTTTGTTCATCTTCCTCCACATGAACGCACAAAGCTAACTCTCCAATCAATATAACGTGTGCTTTTGTGGGATGTAGCCCTAATTATAAGGGCTTCCTTTGCTATGATCTGAAGTCTCGTCGAGTTTGCGTATCCCGCAATGTCATCTTCCTTGAGAACATGTCTTTTTTTGCTCACAATGTTAAGTTACCTGCTACTTCCATTTCAATACTGCATTGTTTTGACTCTGTAGGTTCTTCATATTCACCTTCTATTCCAGAGTTGCTCCTTGTCTATTTCAGAAACAGGCTAGTTGCTCTAGCTCCTATTGCCCTGCCCCCTTCATCACCAAAAGCTTATCCATCATCTCTAGCCATGAGTTCTCATCTCTTGATCCTGTTGTTAGACAGTATATGCCCTTAACTCCAATCATATTGATGTACAGATACATTTATTGTAAATAAATAAAAGTACATTATTGTTTCATGTTGTTATTGGTATGTTTCTATGAAATTATCCCTTAAACTGGACACTTACGAGATTTGTGCTTGTGAAGATATATCTTGATGTACATTATTAGAGTAATCCTTGTTGTATAGTATCGTAATTTCTATTATTTTATTTGTTCTTTTTATCTTTCAGCCTTGTAAGGGTATTCTTGTATCTGTACATACCTTTTATCTCTTTAATATAAAAGGGACTCTTTGGGGTGGGGGTCGACTATTCTTGACACCCCTAAATCTGTTTTCTTCTTGCTCTGGATTTAGTTTGCATGGTATAAGAGTAGGTTACTCTTTGATCTTCCTTCTCTTTGATCCACTTGTTTTTGTGATCTATTGAGAACCTACATCTCTGTCGAGTGGTCCTGGATTGTTTTGATCTCTCCAGGAACCTCTTTTTTGTTTTCTGCGCATCCAGAGAGAGACCTCCGTTTGCAGCAAGAATTGAAAGGAGTTGTCGCCTAGCCCCTCTCAACATATTCTAAAGTTTTTATGGAGATTCATGAAGTTTTGAGAGATATGGACTCTTCTTCTTGGCAGCTGCACCCAGACTTTCCTTTTCTAGATTGTGTGTTCAGTTTTTCTTTTTTTTGGATCTTGAACAATTTCCGGTGAAAGTAAGGGGTTTCTATCTCAAATTTTTTATTACAGCCTATTTCACTCGTCTTTGGATCAAGTTTTACTTCAGTTTAGTTTCTTTAAACTTCTGTCGAACCCTATTTTGTGCTATTTTCTTGCTGAAATGACTTCAGATAGAGGTGATATCATTCCTATAAATATGAATGGACAGAACTATGGGATGTGGAAGTTCCGCTTCGACTTTTATGTTGGAGGAAAGGGTTTAGAAGGATATCTGAATAGAACGGTCACCAAACCAACTGAGACCAAGGCCAAAGCTTTACAACAATGGAAGTTGGATAATGGTAAACTTGTTTCTTGGATTTTGAGTTCTATTGATTATCATATATTTGTACCTATGAGGAGAATGAAAATAGCATATGAGATGTACATGTATCTAGGAGGATATAGGAGTATTATTCTGGTTTTCTTAATTTATGGGCTGAATATGAGATTGTTCACATTGAACCCTCAAATCCAGTAGAGTGTGCGAAAAGTGACTCAGTTCTTGATGAAACTTAGACCTGAATATGAAATAATCAAGTCCAACATTTTGAGTAGGGGAACACTTCCAGGTATGGATTTTGTCTTAGGGGAACTTCTGAGGCAAGAAACTAGACTTCTCACTATAGCCAGGTTTGATGGGAAGATGGCTGAAGTTGGGGTTGAAACAACCTTTGTTGCTCATGGGGGTAAGAAGCCAACCTCCAAGGACCTCTCCAAAACCCAGTGCTATGAATGTAAGGGTTTAGGACATATTGCATCTCACTGTAAGAAGAAAAATTTGTGTACCTTTTGCAAGCAGCATGGTCACATTATTCCACTGTCACCAACCAGATCCTTTCCTCTCTCCAAAACCCTCTTAGTACCTAACCTTACTACTAATCTGATTTCTGTTGGCCAACTTGTTGATGAATGAAATGTTTTCACTTTTTCTCATGATGGTTGTTTGATATAGGATCGGTACACTGGGAAGGTGAAAGGGAAGGGGTGTAGGTTGGGTCGTCTGTTTGCGCTAGAGTTCGAGAAATCTCAATCATCCTCAGCTTTACTAAGTTCTTTATCTGATTCTCTATTGAGTTATAAAAATAATGTTTGGGATCTATGGCATAAACGATTGGGTCATCCACATTCCAAAAAATTAAAATTTTTGTTTGGCTCTGGTTTGATTAAGAATAAAATTCCCCTGTTGATACTTTTGATGTTTCTTGYACTACGTGTTGTTTGAGTAAAAGTCATGTTTTACCATTTCTTCATACATTTGAACATGCCACTAAACCTTTTGAGATAATACATAGTGATGTTTGGTTTGCTTCTATTACTTCACGATTGTGGTACAAATATTCCGTATTATTTATATATAATTGTACCAGATATACTTGGATTTATTTTCTACAACACAAATCAGAAGTCTTTGGTGCTTTTAAATTGTTTCGTATTATGGTACAAAATCGATTCAAGTGTAATATGACTATCTTCCGCTCAGATTCAGGGGGAGAATATAGAGATGGAGAATTCCTGGCATACTTGAGAAGTTATGGAATTTAGTCTTAGTGCAGCTACCCAGACACTATAATAGAATGGTGTAGCTGAACGAAAGAACGAACATATTCTCAGTGTTGTGTGGACATTACTACAGGAGTCTCATACTCCAACTTCGTTTTGCGCGGTAGCAAGCCTCCATACTCTCCTCTCTTTATCTAAGGAGTGTAAATCAATTCTTATTAAAAAACCCAAAACAAAACTTGTAATTTTTTAATGTAGGACAAGTTAAAAAAATATTTTTAAGAAAAGAAATTTTCAAGACATGTGTGCAGGTGTAATTCTTTCATGTAATTGACCAATCAAACCCATTGGATTTAATCTCTAATAAGATTAAAATCCAACAGTATCATCCTAAAAATTTGTTCTCAATTTGCCTTTATGACAGAATTGTCTTCCATTTTCTGCACTTATTCATATTTTAGCTAACAGTTGATTTCTTTTGTTGCTTTTCTATATCAGAGTGGAATCAGTTCCTAGAGTTTGTTTTGCAAGGTGCCGTGTGATATTGCATTATTGATTAATACGATAGCTTGAGGTGAAGGTTGAGCAATGGTAACAATATCAATGGAGAAGTATGGACAGGCCTAATGCAGAATCCTGAATTCTTCTGCAACTCTATAAACATTCAAAAGTTCAAAAACCCACACCCTATGCACCCATATCCACCCATGAATTGGCATCAATTCCGAGCTAGCACCTACCTCAACTGTACCTTAGGCCTAAGAATTCTGACCCCCTGGGCTGAACGGTTATTCTCCCTAATATCAAATATGATACGAGGATACAACTGTAAGACAAGATGGCAATATGGAGATAGAGTTGAAAGAGAGGACTCTGGTAACCGTATCTGATGTGTTTATTCATGATCGAGTTACATACCCCGTTTTACATGATTACACGTCTTGTTTGTAGCAGATCCAGAGCCCCCTTAATGAGATTCCTACTTAAATTAGGTTTTGTTATGCTTATATTAAAAATTTCCTAATATGTTGAAAAGGCAATGTCAAGGTGTATGAGCAGGGTGCCAACCAGCTGGTTGGTAAGGTCTCTTGCTCGTAGCGGAGACTTGGGATTGAATCCCGCCTGCACCTGCATCAGAGTTATGGGTTGGGAGATGGGCTACCTTCATTGTATAGCCCTTCAAAAGAAATCAGAAAAAGGTGTATGAAGGTCCCTTGGTGATGTCTTGAAAATCAAGAAAAAGAAAGAATAATCATGAACGTCTTTGGACCCAATTTCACCACTATGAAATTGCAGTAGGGCCACTATTCCATGGATTGTATTGTAGAATGGAACTCAAGAATTTTAATGACAAAATATAAGATTAAAGTAGTTATAGATATGATATTGTGCTGAGAATGACCATTTGTCGATATCTGACATTCTATGTGAAAGACATCCTTTAATTATTTATGTTAAAATTACAAATAGTAATAAATAGTAATAGAAGTTTAAATTGCGAAACTAATATTAAATTTAGTGGGTTTTCTTTAAATCAAATGTTCTTGTGTTTGCTATACTTGAAAAAAGCAACATAAGCAACAAACAAAAATGAAGTATTGGACTTGTGCCTCTCAAAATAAGTCAAAACAATTTTTGTTCGATTAAAAAATTTACATTATTCTAAAAGCCCACAAAAAAGATGCTTTCAAAAACAAAGGCATGCATTTTAAGTTCCATAAGACTGATTGAGGCTAAAACAAAAATCTCCCCATAAAGAGGGTTATACTAAACTGTGAAAATCATAGGATATAGGAAGATCGCTCCCTCTCATTTCATGGAAGCTGAGGTCATCAAGTAGGACATGGGGTCATGGAGGGGGGTTGTGTGGTCACAATTTATTGTCATAGCATAAAGTCTACAATGTTTTCCACATACTAGCATTTGCCAAAAACAAAAACATCTTGAACTGTGCTTTTGTTTTAAAAGAAGTACGCACAAGTTGGTCTTGTTTCAAAATACCAATGTTCAAAAAAACCAGATCAAGCATCGACACGAAAAAGGTGTTTTTTAGCAAAAATAGTGGGGCAAAGCACCTTTTTGCACCTTGGGTACACATAGATCTTGAAAAATTATCCAAAATCAAAAAAAGAAAAGACTATCCCAATCGGACATCCGAACTCAAGGTAATGGCCTTTAGAAGTTTGTATTTATGTGCTATAAATATTAAAAAAAAAATTGGCCAGTTGTCTAAAATTGGGACTGGGTCACCGGTTTTCTGGTTTAACCATCTAGGTCATAGGTTTTGGTTGACTTTTTATACAATGCGGTTTTAGGGGTATGATTGAACCAACCAAGGGCTCGAGTCACGATTCAACCGGTCCAACTATGTTATAGAAGTTGTCAAATTAATGATTTTTAAAACAAAATACAAGTTTTTATAGTATAAAAATTATATGATTTTTGGAACATGATATTACATAAACAAATGAAATTCAAGAATATGTTTTAAAAACTAATTTGTTTTCAAACTAACTGGTTTTGTTTTATTTTTGGAACTTACAACAAGAAAAGCAATTCATATTGGAGAACACCCTCTTAGTGTAACAGTAAGGCTGGAAATGGATATTTGTCATAAGAATGTAGGCCACTACTTGGTGTGTACGAGTGCTACTTTGAAGCTTCTACGTTTCATGTTAATCAACGTTTAAGATACTGGTATCATAAAGTGTATGGTAAAATGGATTTGTCATAATACTCTTTGGATACTCATGGAAATGGTGGAATATCTCGCTACACATTGAGACATCAAAAAATTCATGAATCTAGATTAAATATTAATGGCACTAAATCTAAGCTTGAAATAACTATGAATATAGTACAAACATATGAGGAGTGTTTGGAAAGAGCACAAATACAAACATGTATGGTGCAAATACATACAAAATATAAGGTTTTGTACTCTACAAATTTGTATTTGCACTCCTTTCAAACTGAGCCATAAGAAAAAAAAAAGACATATTTTCCTAGATTACATGAAGAAATACATTATAATCAGTATATCAAGATATGTATGGATATCATACAATAATTTCACCAATGAGGCATCAACCAAGAGTCAAACAATTTATCAAAACAAAACCAAGAGTCTAAGACATTATATAGCTTTTTCTAAAATTACTACATTTATAAAGCAATTAATATGTTCTTATTTATTTTAAGTTAAATTATTAATAAATAATTATAGAATATATAATTTTAATTAATCTAAAAATATTATATCCATGAAAATGTAGAAGATCAATACATCTAAAAGTCATATACAATTATATTTTGAGTACTAATTTTATTTTTTAATACCAAAATAGTAAGTCAACTTAATCTTAAATTTAATACAATAGTTAATCACTATATAAATTTTTAAAAATTATTAAAGTGAAGTAAGTTGTAAATAATATATTTGTGTTTCCCTAAATAATAAATATGTTGTCATTTATTTTAAATTAAATTATTAATTAAATAATTTAGAGAATTATATAATCTTAATTTAAAAAATATATCAAATTCATTAAAATTTCCAAGAATTATATAATCATACTAATTAGTCATTATGTGAAATGTGCAGGGTACGGCCATTCATATTATCATATAGGCCCAAAATTGTGCTCCCAACACTATCCCAATAAGCCATTGTAGTCATAGGCTTGGATCTGCTACCTTTGGGTTGTTCCCACATCCTTACCCATGGGACATTACAATTGTGCATTAGGAATATCTCCCTTGTGATTCATAAGGAGATATTCCCAATACACGATGGTAATATTCTATGGGTAGAGGTGTGGGAACAATTTGTGGGTAATAGATCTAGAGTGTATAGTTGCACATCTGGAACATTTCCCCATGTTTGCACATAAGGAAGATATTCCCAATGTTTGGCTACAGTGGTCTATTGGGATAGTGTTTGGAGCATTGTGTGGGTAGCAGATCCCTACATGAATTGGAAACATGTGAGAAGTATGACACACATGGGACTCACTGAATCATTAATCTAATTGGAAATCGGATTTGGTCCTCACAAGACCATTCTCATACTGTCCTCATAGCCCCTTGCAGCTTTGCATTGGGAATATCTCCCTATGAAAAAAAAGATACAATATGAAGCTATTCCAATACATGGCTGAAAAAGGTTGTGAGAATGGTGTGAGCATAATTTTTATGAGGACTAAATCTGTCGTCTATTGACATTGTGAGCCATTTGGTATTCAGTCTAGTTGAAAATGGGTAATATGACACCCAATAAATAGAAACATGTCAAATTGAACTTAAAAAACCAAATAGTATGGAATGATGACCACTTTAATAGGTTTTTGGCGATCATCAATTTTGACCATTTCCATGGTTGGTCTTAAAGCCAAACCAAGAACCAGTTGCTGGAAAAATGACCATATGTAAAAAACTCATATGGAAAGGAGATATAGCTTTTGTGGCCTACAAGTATAAGAATTTAAAAAATAATAGGGAAAATTGTAGATTAATACCCTATACTTTGAGCCTAGTCTTACTTTGGTCCCAGGTGCCAATCTAGTACTTAAACTTTCAAAACGTGCCTATTTAGTACATGTTGTTAACTAGCCATTGAATGGCATGTGAAAAGATACAAATGCCCTTTGGGTGTCATCTAATTTTCTTTATCAACCATCGAAATGCCCTTCTCCTAAGAAGTCTGAAAATCTCTCTTCACCCTTCAATTAAATCTTTGATTGATTTATCAACTATCCTCACAATTACATCTTTGATTTCCAGAAATAAAAATAACTTATTAAGTTGTTAATATATATATATATATATATATATATATATATATATATAGATAGATAGATAGATAGATAGATAGATAGATAGATAGATAGATAGATAGATAGATAGATAGATAATCATAACCAACGAAAATGTAATTATGAAGCATCATCTCCCAAATATCATATATGATGATTTATTGAAGGATAAGCAAAGAAGCCATGGATTGAATGTTATCTTCTTATTAGGAAGCAATTTCTCCCATTTGGACCTTCTCATCAGGAAGCATCATCTGCATGCCACTCATTTCTGCAAAGCTGCATACTCAGAGTTATGAAATCATCACTTGTGCCCCATGAAAAAGAGAGGACATGAAAGCTGCATTGTTGCTCATTTTCAATAAACAAGATAATTAATGATAATTATTTGAGTAATAATTTCAGTAATAATGCCAATAAATAAATAAAATTATTTAAATTAATTAATTTTCAAAAATATATGTATTTATAAATAATTAATTACTAAAAATATTAAAATAAATTGTAATTTAAATTATTTTAACTATCCTATATGTTTAATGTTTGAGAAGTTTTTACCTTTGTTACAGTGATGAAATGGGAGGTAGAGTGATGGTGGCTAGAGGCTAAGAACCTAATGATATGGCAAAATGAAGCCTGGGTGGGGTGAAGGCAAACATGTACTAAACCGGATTTGTTCTGTTTATTTTTCATAATTTTAACATTAAATTTAAATTTAGTTTAAATTAATATTTTTTTTACTTTTATCAAGATTTAATTTTTTTAATAAATTGTTATTGATGCATAATTTAAGTATAACTAGCGGGGACCCATGCGATGCACTGATTTTGTTAAGCGAAAGTTAAATAATAGAAATACATAAGAGTAGACAATTGTTTTATAATTTAATTTTTAAATAATTAATAATTGTTTATATTTTATATACTATTTTTAATATCTTTTTTTCAATACAAAAATAACAATAATTAATTTCATCTAGGGATATTCATCAAACTGATGAAACTGACCAAACTAACCTAACTCAACCCAAGTTGGTCACTTTCTAGTATTTCTGGTCGACTTCGGTTCAGCAATTTCCCAACCTAACCAAGTCAGGTTAGTTTCGGTTTAGCCATTTGTAAACCGACCAAAATTGAACCAAGTCAATTATAAATATATATTAATATTTTATATTACAAATATAATTTTTTAATATAGGAAAGTGGAAAAATTTCCTAATTTTGTAATCTAAAATATTTTATATTGTAAACATAAACTAGCAGAGGAGACCCTACATTGTAGGGGCTTGCAAAAGCTAAATTATTGTATAGGAAAAAATGAATTTGTAAAAGGTAAATTTTTTAATTAATAGTTTTTAGGAAAAATGATTTCCTTAAAAAGTTAAAATAAGTAAAAATTTATGGATAATAATATATTTAATTTAATAAAATAAAAACAATAAATAAATACAAATTTCAATTTTGAAGTCAATTGAAGATCAAGCCTCAAATCTGCTTCCCCTGTTTCCCAGACTAAAGATTTAAAACCCAAAACACTCACCCCAACTCAACAACTCGTCCAAGCTTTATTTGAACTTTTTTTAGTTGCTGGAAAACTCTTTTCAATGCTGTACACGAGAGGTAAGTTTCTCATTCCACCATTTTTCTAAGTTAGAATTCGTACTCTTTGTTTGCAGTTTAGTTCTAGGTTGCTTGAATTCCCATAACCATGGGAAATTTGCATTCCTAGTTTCCTCTAAATTGAGAAAAAGTGGTAGAAAGACAAGGGTCTTAGGGAAATTAGTACTTTAGACCTGATAACATCACCTCAAATCAATTACGGGTGAAAGATGGGAGCATTTTCGCCTGATTTTAGGAGCTTTGAGCAACATTCATTGGTGTTTTCGTTAGAATTTGAGCATGGACAGTTCCCGTATTAGGTTGCTACAATAGCTTGGAGAGAGGGGTGCCTAACACATTCCCTCTCCCAATCATTGGGATCCAAAATCTCTCAGTTAGGTACCTTTCCTAGCGAGGAACAAAATCACTATCAAAGCAAGTAAATCGATTTTTCAAATCTAAAAATAAGGGTCAATTTCCTTTGAAAAATGGGTGGCGACTCCATTTCTTTTAGCCAACCATGAGCTTTTTTTAGCTCATCTGTACGCACACACACACACACACACACACTAGCGGGGACTCGTGAAATGCACAAGAAAATTTGAAAGATTGTATAATTTTATTTACTATTAATTAATTAAAAAATTAATAATCAAAACTTGCTATTATTTAACTAAAAGTATTCAAAGTTATTATTAATATTTAAAATTTTAATAATTATATTTTTTATTTAATGTTGATTTACAGAAAATAATTATTGTTAATTTAATATGAACATATATGTGTTTTAATAAATTTAATTTTATTAATCATTTGTAGTAATTTTAATAATTGTTATTATTTTCAATGTTTTTAAATGAAAAACTGATTGACTTTAAATAAATAAAAATAATTGCAAAAACTAACATTTTTATTAGTTTCACTAATAATTAACAATTATCTAGGAATAGCAACAGGGCGGGGCACCTGATCCCTATCCCCGCTCCGTAGTCAAGACACTCTACCCATCTCCACCTTGTCCCCTAGTGTTAGGCGAGTTTAGGGCAAGGCACCCACTCTTCATCAAGGATAGGGGTTCGTCGAATTTCCCCACCCCGTCTCCAATGTTGGGCGAATTCAAGGAAAGGCACCCATTCTCCATCAACCCAATATTCAATTTGGTGATAAAAATGATCAAAAGGATATACCGAGTATCAGCCACATGGTAAATTTCTAAAAGTGCACTAAATTGTCTTTAGTTTTTAAAAATGTAATTTTATGAAAATTTTGGAGAATTTATTACATTTGTGTAATTTTGAAAATTTATTCAAAATTATTTTTAAACAGTTATTAAATACTTTTATTTTCTTTTTAAAATGGTTTACTTATAGAACTACACTAATTTATCTCATATTTTCTAACATAATCTAATCAATAATTTCGTTTTTCTAATATTATACTAAGTTATCTTAATAATTTATGTAATTATTGGTTCAAATTACAATTTTCCCTTTCCTATACTCATTTATCTTTAATAATTTTCAATAATTTATAATGAAAATTACATAATTCCAAAATCTATAAAATGTACTAAATTTTCCTAAAATTTCCAAAATATTCCAATATTTTTCAATAATTATTTAATACATTTTAAATACACTTTCAAAAACTTTATATCTTTTAATTTCCAAAATGTTATTTTATGAAAATGTAGTTTTATGAAAAATTTATTATATTTGTATAATTATGCAGATTTATTGAGAATTATTTTAAATTGTCATTAAATATTTATTTTTATTAGGTATTTTACTAACAAATTTACACTAATATATCTTCTATTTTCCGATATAAATTAATTAATCGTTTCATTTTCAAATATTATAATATTTGGTTCCCCAATTTGCATTTGGTTGTTAACTATAATAATAGTAATAACTAAAATTGTATACTTTTTGATAATTGTTAAATATAATTCTCAATTTTATAGGATTTAGTTAAAGAGTTTTCAATTTTTGTAAAATATTGTTAACTAACATGAATATAAAAGTATTCACCCAAAATATTTTAAAAAGCCATGATGAATTAATAAATAACAATATTTATTAATTTTTGGTAATTTACTAACTGTATTTATTAACTTTTGGTAATAAGACTATTTAATACTCATTGAATATGGGTTGGATTAGATATTGACCGTATTTAACTATTTATGAATTGATATGGATATTTTAGATGAGAGAGAATAGATATAGATTGGGGGGAGAGATTTTAGGAATTGATTGGAGAGTGTGGTAACATGATAAGTTCCTAATGGCTTAGAGGAGATACTTTAGGAGAGAGATTCTAGGAATATTTTTAGGTAATTGGGTTGGGAATGATGAAATGGCTTAATGGGAGTGGTGAGAAGGGGAGAGGGGAGAGAGAGAGAGAGAGAGAGTAAAAGAGAATGCAGGGTGGAGGTAATGGAGCAAGGAGAGGTATGTTGACATGGACCATCTTGCTATATATATATATTTAAAATAATTAAAATATTTTTGGTGATTCATATGCATATTATTTAAATTATTTATATAATTTAAATATTTATGTACTTAAAAAACTTTATTTCCGAAAAAAATACACTTTGACCTATCAAAATCCCCTCCCCATGAATGTTGACGAAAACCCACTGAATTTGAATCCATATATTTAATTACCTACAACAATTAATTCGATTGAATTTGAATTGAAATATTCAAATATTTAATCAAATTTAAATCAAAATGTTTTAACATTCAGTTATCCAATTTTCTAATTGAATTTGAATTCGAATATTACTTGATTGGACAATTTATAAGGATCAGATGGTTGGATAGTGGATGGGCATCCAATCTGTTTATGTAAAGGGAGAATCTGGGCCTTGCTACAACAAAAAGGGAAAATTTCACTTTAGTACCTTAAACTTTGGGGGTAGTGCCAAGTTAGTACCCAAACTTTCAAATGTGTCATTGTAGTACCTAAACTTTAAAAAAGTGTCAAGTTGGTCATTACCGTTAACCGATCGCTAGTTATCTATTGAAAATGTCAAAACTATCCTTTAAAAGAAGACATTGCTCATTATCTTCTACCTTGAGACTGAACCGATTATCTTTAAAGAAAAATAGAGAAAAAACATGAAATATGATAGAGGGAAACAATAACTGAAAGTAAAAAAAATAACTAGACAAGAATGCGTTTCAGATCTAAGGTAGAAGACAATGACTTCATTAGTCTAGAATCTCAAATACCTCAACCAGTTCAATCTCAAGGTAGAAGACAATGAACAATGTCTTCTTTTGAAGGGTAGTTTTGACATTTTCAATAAATAACTTACTGTCTATTAACGGTAGGGATCAACTTGATACTTTTTGAAAGTTTAGTGACATATTTGAAAATTTGGATATTAACTTGACACTTTCCCAAAGTCTAGGGTATTAAAGTGGGATTTTTAAGAGAAGGAAATACGGGGGTATCTAGACCCAGATTCTCCCTTTACATAAACGGATCGGATGCCCATCCATCATCCAACCATCCGATCCTTATAAGCTGTCCAATCAAATAATATTCGGGTTTAAATTCAATTAGAGGATTGGATAATCGAATGTTAAAACATTTTAATTTAAATTTGATTAAATATTCGAATATTTCAATTCAATTTTATTCAAATTCAACCGCATCTCGGATCGGATCCCGCACTCTGTGACTCCATCGGCAGCAGTACAGCATATGCCCTGGGATATTACCCTCCAGTCCTCCTAAGTCCAAATGTGCTTCACGCAGAAAAAAAGTCCACAAGTGGCTTCCTGGATTTCCAAATAAGGCTGAAACCCTTGCAAATCCTTGGATCTCGGTTCCGTGCGTTTTCTGTTTACATAATACGAAAGCAATTCATCTTCACAAGGTTCGAACTCTGTAACGACTTAAATCCCTTTTCTTACTTGCTTTAGAGTTCAGACTTTGTTTTTGTTACAGCCTTCTTTTACAAACCCCCACCCCCAGCAAGCAACATTGAAGAAATAAATGCTACTGTTTGTTCACAACGGATTCTGCTACCATTAGTTTTGTTGGATTTGGTGATAGTCTTTGAATTGATTTCTTGCTCTACATTTTCTTTTTTTTTTTTCCTATGATATCTTGGCGTGAATAGGGTTCTGAGTATTATCTGAGTTGTGCTATGGGAAGTATCTCTGTCCTCGAGGGGTGCCTCATTTTTTAAATTTCGGTATCGTTAATCAGATTGTTGCATCTTCCTGATATCAGAGAAGAGCGGATGAAATAACAATTAAGGGAAGTAAGCGGGTAAGTGGGTGTCCATTTTTGTTTGGCATTCTATTCTTTATACCTAATTTTCTGGCTTCAGCCACACCAACCGTTCGCAATTCTGACAAGTTTGTCACCGAACTTTGCACTTCACAACTATGACGATGTGATTTGTTATATCTAAGCTTAATGCAGATATTCTGTGGTCTAGCTACTGCTGTTGTAGCTGCTTAGCAAGTTCTTGAAGTCTTTGAGAGAAATGGCCGCCTGTAGTCGATCGTCCGGTAGTGATCAACCTTCTATCAAGTATATGTGGACTAAGCCTGGGGCAGCATCTTTTGAGCTTTCTGATTTTGATCAAGAGGGAAATGTCTCCAAACTATCTGGTTCTTATAGACAACATAGTAAACTATCCGAACCAAAGACTTCTGAAATACTGAGCACAGCTGAATTTGTGTCTGCAGTTGGCAGATTATGGAATTGGGCTAACCGTCCTCTTTCTGTTTTTCAACCTAAAACAAATGCAAAATACACTGATTATGGTTACCAGAAACAGAATATGCTATGTTATTCGGGTGCAGAAGCAAATGGAAAAGCTTCTATTTCTGCTGATACCAAATGCTTCTGCACTGATGTGATGGATGACAGTTATTTCCCACAGGTGGTAAATTCAGAATTTGAGTGTTTGAAAGTAACCCAGAAGATTTCACTGTTTGATCCTTGCAATGGACATCGTTCTCATTTGTCTTTTGGAAGATATCTACAGACCAGTGATTCCCAGTTACCTGTGGAGTCATGGAAAGGGAAGGGGCTCATAAGTGTAGGTATTTCATATAATCTGGGAGAAATATATGGATGGATACGTCAAATTCCTTTTCTTGGACCAAAGTCTTCTGTGAATGCCATCCATAGCAAGAACAATAAAGAGGATCAAGGCTGTATTTCTGGAGGTACTATCACTCCAGTTGGCATTTTCACCAGGGAGAGTTCTGATTATAGTACTTGTGTAACCAAACGTGAAGATTCTTTATTGGTTGAGAATGCGGCATCTGAACATCATGCACAGATGCCTGTTAACTCTCTTTATTCAGATTATCATTTCGATCTTGTTTCAAATATAGAGGCAAACTCTGTTGTACCAAGGACTTCAAGTTCCAATCTTTACTTGGACTACCATACTGACTTGCCATCTTTGAGTAATTGTATATTTGAAGAATGCAAACACACATCAGATGATGAGGAAATGCTCAAGAATGGAAAAAGACAAGTCAAAGAGCTTGTCCTTGAGCATGGACATACAACAGAGCTTCGCTCATCAGTACAGAATAAATCTGGTTTTGCCCTTGGAAAGAAAAGACATGCTTTTGCGGGTGCATTGGCTGGGACATGTGTTAGCCTCTGTCTGCATCCTGTTGATACTGTTAAAACTGTCATTCAATCTCGTTACATGTATGAGAAGTCTATTGGTCACATTGTCAGATCTATTATATCTGAAAGAGGTAAATATCATACAAAAGATGCAATTTTAGGTTATGGTACATATGGGAATCTTTAGTCAATTTTCAATTGATTTTCCCCCAAGTATTCTCTCTTTTTCTGGACTTAATCTGCCTGAACTATGGCGATTGGTTTTTGGGCTTCTGGAAATTGATGGCATTTTGTTTCCAGGTGTAACAGGATTCTATCGTGGAATTGCAAGCAACATTGCTTGTTCAGCACCTATCTCTGCAGTTTATACCTTCACATATGAATCGGTTAAGGGAGCTCTGCTTCCCATCTTGTCTAAGGTGAGCTAATGGAACTTGAACAATGGTTTACTAATCAGTTCTTGCTCTATCAAGCATAGAACTTGTTTGTACTAATTCTCACTTATTTTTCCTGCAGGAATATTATTCTATTGCACATTGTACAGCAGGTGGTTGTGCCAGCATAGCCACTTCATTTATTTTTACTCCTAGTGAACGCATAAAGCAGCAGATGCAAATTGGTTCTCATTATCAAAGTTGCTGGTGTGAGCTCTCTGTTCTTCTGTTTGACAACCTCATTGACATAAAATTATCTAGTTCTTCGTTGGCAGTATATTTGGTATCAAATTTATATATAACTACATTTATTGAATGGAATGATGCCATTATGCCATTTTATTTATTGAGATGAAGGCCACTTCATATTTTTATTTCTGATATACTTGCATGACCCATTTTTCAAAAATAAATAAATTGAAACATGGCCTTAGTTCCTCATAATCTGCAGCCCGAACCTCTATCCCTTTGTAGGACTATTGCATCTTTAATTTTTTGTTTTTTAAGGATTATGCATTTTAGTGTCACTGATCTTTCATATATGTTTTATTTGTAAATACATTGCTTATTGAATTGTGAAAATTTTCACAAATTATCAACCCTTTCTCATTTTTTACCAGTTAAATCACTTGGCTGGGCTGGTTCAAAACATTAGTTATACTTCAATACAAGTTATATTGGAGAAAACAATATTTGAACACAACCTAATATACAAATTCAGAGGTGAACGTGTTGATTTTCTAAGTAGAAGCCATCTAAGATCTTGCACTTGGCACTATTGAATAAAAGAATTTAAGTACTTGTTTTGTTGAGGTTAAACTAGAAAGTATAGGAGTAAGGTCCTCTTAGGTGGCAATGTTTGACCCAATGAGTGGCGTTATTTGTTAACTAGAAATGGCCATTCTATAAGACAGTTGTAAAGCCAGCTATGTTGTATAGTGGAGTTTTAGGCAGTCAAGAAACAAGATGTCCAGAAAATGAAAGTGGTAGAATGCGAATGCTAAGATGGATGAGTGGAAAAACTAGAAAGGATAGGATTAGGAACGAAGTTATCCATAGGAACTTAGGAGTAGCTCCAGTAGTTGATAAAATGAGATAGTGTAGACTAAGATTGTGCATAGAAGACCATCAACTGCGCTAGTTGGAAAAAGTGATTTATTACACATTGAAGGGGCTAGAAGAGATTGGGGTAGACAAAAAAAGACATGGGTAGAAGTAGTAAGAAATGATTTAAGCACTATTAATTTAGTAGAAATCCATTGAATTAAAAATCTGCAAAGAAAAGAAGAGTTTCTTGTGGAAGAAGAGAAAGAGAAGAGAAGAAGTTGAGAAAGAAAGAGAGCAAATCAGATCTGGCTGCCCTCTCTATTAGTATTTATACTTTAATTAAAAGAGAGTACAATAACCAATATGCCCTCATAGGGCGGTTAACACATGAAATTGCATAAAAAACTTAAAAACATCACTCCAAAGGGTCCTAACAAGAGTGTTGTGGTCCTCATTTCCTATCTAAACAAGTAATAAACAAAAACAACTAACAAATCTACACAAAATACTCAACACTCTCCCTCAAGTTGGGAGTAAATGTCACACATTCCCAACTTGTGTAGGTCATTTTCAAGCTTGTTCTTTGCAACCCCTTTGGTGAAGACATCAGCTAACTGTAATTCAGAGGAGACATAAGGCAAACAGACTTCTCTAGTTATCACCCTTTCTCATATGAAGTGTCTATCAACTTCAATGTGCTTTGTCTTATCATGCTGAACTAGATTGTGGGCAATATTCATTGCAGCTTGGTTGTCACAATATAACATCATGGGCTCTTCTGCATCTATCCCAATTTCACTCAGCAAGGATCTAAACCAAAGTAACTATGAAACATCATGGGCATAGATCCATATTTGGCCTCTACACTTGACCTAGCCACCATTGGTTGCTTTACCCTTCCATGAAACCAGATTTCCTCCCACAAAGGTGCATAGCCCTGATATGGATCTCATGTCCTCTAGACAACCTGCCCAATCTGCATCTGTATAGGATTTCGATTTCAAATTCCCATGAACTGAGAATAGAATTCCTCTACTAGGATGCTTCTTCAGGTATGCAAGTATTATATCAATGGCTTCTCAGTGCTAAACTCAAGGAGCATGCATATACTGGTTCACAACACTAACAACATAGGAAATGTCTTGGTGTGTCATACATACATATAGTAGTTAACCTACCAACCTCGGATATTTCCCAACATCCTTAACTAACTCACCATCCAAAGCATTAATCTTGTACCTGTAGTTTAGGTCAATAGGAGATTAGGAGTATCGGTTGGTTTAGCTTTTAACTTCCCAGTTTCTTGTAGTAGGCCCAACACATACTTCCTTTGAGAGATGAATATCCCATGTTTGGATCTTGCAACCTTAATCCCCAAAAAATATTTTAGTTCACTTGGATCCTTAATCTCAAATTCCTGTTATAGTGACTTCTTGAGTGCATCAATCTCCCTCAAATCATTCCCTATAACAATTATATCATCCACATACACAATCAGTATTGACACAAGTGCATCCCTCCTCTTCACAAAGAGAGTGTGATCTGATTGGGTCTGTGCGTATCCAAAACGGATCAATGCCCCCCTAAACTTGTTAAACCACGCCTTAAGTGATTGTTTCAAACCATATAATGACCTTTTTAGCCCGCAAGCTTTTCCCCCACCAACATTCTCATAGAAATTGGGTAGAAGGTCCATATATATCTCATCTTGCAACTCACCATTAAGAAATGCATTTTTAACATCAAGCTAGAAGAGCGACCAAGAATAAGTAGTTGCTAGAGACGAGGATCTGAACTGAGCTCATCTTAGCTATTGGTCCAAAGGTCTCTAATCTAAATAATCTATACCATAGGTTTGTGTATACCCTTTTGTAACCAACCTTGCCTTGTACCTCTCTATGCTATCATCAGCCTTGTACTTTATAATAAACACCCATCTACATCCAATGGTCCCCTTTTCTTCAAGAAGACCAACTATCTTTCATGCTTGGTTCTTAATCAAAGTCTCCATTTCTTTTATCATAACTGTTCTTGCCTCAGGTTTGAAAAGAGCCTCGTTAATCCTAGGTATAGACACAATCTAGGGAAGAAAGGAAGGCACAATAGGAAGGTGATAGGACACTATAGGAGAGATGGTGTGAAATGCAATGGGATATACACTTTCTCTTTCCCTTGCGGAGGTAATGGGAAGATCAAGATCAATTGTAACATTAGTGTTGGGTAGAAAAACATCATCAATGGGTCATAGGCAATAACAGGCACAAGATAAATAATACCTAGAATTGTATTAGCCGAACCTAAAATCTCGGGTGGACCAATGTAGAGCGGTGCAGGTTCTTTTACTAGAGCATGTATGGAGTCAACCCTCTTGCACTAGCGTTGAAAGAATTGTGAGGCAAGCCATAGTGGATCCAACAACAATACATACCCCTTTTAGGTTTAAGCATACCCAAGAAAAACACATTTCTTGGCCTTAGGATCCAACTTCCTACGATGAAGACCAAGAATGTGAACAAAACAAACACACCCAAAAACTCTCAAAGGTATATGAAATATCTCCCCATCTAGAAAAAGAAGACCGAATGGCACCTTAAACCCCAAGATGCGTGAGGTACACGGTTAATCAGGTACATAGCCATGAGAACTGCATCTCTCCAAAAATGAATAGGAACTTAAGCGCATATCATAAGACTCCTTGTCACCTCCACAATGTGTCTATTTTTCCTCTCTACTACCCCATTTTGTTGCGGTGTATAAGCACTACTCTGATGAATCACCCCATGCTTCAAAAAATGTGGTCAAATCCTTCTCAAAATATTCTCTAGCATTGTCTGAACTGAAGACCCCAAACTATGTGAGAACCATCTGGTAGAACTGTCACACCAAAATAGGTACTCTATCATATGATCTCATCAAAATATTCTCTAGCATTGTTTGATCTAAAGACCTTAGTCTTCACTCCAAACTGTGTGAAAACCATCTGGTAGAACTATCACACCAAAATAGGTACTCCATCATATGATCTCATCAAATATATCCAAGAATACTGAGTGTAATCATCTACAAACAAAAGAAAATAATGGTAACCACCCATGGAAGAAATATGATAAGGCCCCCATACATCAATGCGAACAATATCAAAGGAAGAACTTCTATTACTTGGTTTAAAAGAACGTGTACAATGCTTTTCCAACTAACAACTTTCACACTCTAAACTAGATAATTGAACGAACTCAAACAACTTTGGAAACAAACATCTTAATGAACTGAAAGAAAGATGACACAAACGATTATGCTAGAGCATAATCTGATTTACTGTCTCTGATCCACTACTACTGCTACTAACATGGTGGTTCTGATGTCTCAGAATCTCATCTAGAAGGTAGACTCGATTCACCTCACGACCACCCTCAATCGTCTTCTTTGACTCCAGATCCTACAAAACACAATTACCAGGAAGGAAAGCTACTAGATAGTTCAGTATTTTTGTTAGACTACTCACAGAAAGAAAATTAGTATGAAGTCTAGGAACATATAGGAAGAGGACAAAGCAATGCCATTAGTCACCCTAACTATCTCTTTCCTAGCAATGGGAATATGGGAACCATCTGCTGTAGAGACTTTATCTCTACTAGAGTGCAACTGGTAGGAACAGAAAAGGGTAGACATATTGATCTTATGCTTATATGCTCCCAAGTCTATAATTTAGGGAGGTCCCTCCTTACCCAAGGTGGATGCATAATTTACAACCGCATATGAAGTACCTATATGAGCAAAGTAGTGTGATTGGCTCCTGGATTTCCTACACTCTATTGCTTGCTTAAAGAACTAGAACCAATCGAATTCTTCTTACTCATAAGCTGTTCATACTTCTCCAATTCAATTCTAACTGTTGCCACTACAATGGACTCCAAGTTAGCTTGGATAAGAGGTCCCGAAGAGTCTCTAGTAATTGCCACGTTTGCATTTTCCTTTTTGTTCTTGACTTAAGCTGGTATAAGATGTGGATGAAGCTTCCAAGAGGTGTCTCTAGTATGCTTAGGCTTCTTTTAGTAGTCATACACCAGGCCTTTCTTATTTTCCTTCCTGATCTCTTTGCTCCCCCTATCTCCATTTGGCTTAGGTTTGATTGTACCATAGCCGCCTGGTTGACCCCAAACTGTCTCAACATTACATTCCTCCTACTTTCCTCTCCAAACACAAAGGCATAGGCTTGAGAAAGAGTTATTTTTTCTTTGGAAATGATATGTTGCTTGGCAATATCAATTTCGGGTTTAGTCCATCTAAAAAAATCAGACTCTATTCTTCTCCACCAACTTTTGATAGGCTGTTGCATCATTCTTACTCTTTAAAACCACAATCTCTAAGTGATCTATCTCTTGGCAAAGTGTTTTCAGCGTAGAAAAATACATAGCAAGTGGTCTATCTCCTTGTTTTGTATTAATCATCTGATTCCTTAATTGATATGCTCTAGCTACATTCTGTTTCTAGGAATATGTCTTAGTCACTTCATCCCAAATCTCCTTTGCAGTATTAACCCACAAAATTTTTTACCAATGTCAGGTAACATAGAATTACACAACCAAGACATCACTATGTAATTCTCCTGTACCCATTGGGAGGAATCTGTATCCGGTTTCTTCTCCTCCCTAGTGATGTACCCCAATTTCCTAGGAGCACCAATGCCATCTTGGCTGATTTTTCCCATTCTAAATAATTTGTTCCATCCAATTTTGTTGTGGTAATAATCCCAAACCCAAAAGGATTACTGGTACTTCCTACTCAATACTCCAACCCTCCATTTCAACTTCAAACAATTCAAAAACAAAAAATAACCAGGTAGATAGCCTCCAAGATCAGATCGATGTCACACACTAGGGTAAAAGACCTTTTTGGAGGAAGAAAAACCTACCCAGAGAGAAATCCCTCTTCTCCCACCTTCTCCCACTGGAGAGAAAAGTGAATCAATCTCTCTAGAAGGCTCAGAAACTGCTAGAAACTAAATCACCCCCTATAGAAAACCTAGAGAAGTCCAGAAAAGTCTAAGCACTCAATACCAGGTCAAAAATGAAGAGTCCAACTTGACTAGGACTCTTCCTCGCATCCTAGTTCTTCTTGATTTGATGCCAAAATACAGATTACCCTCTTGATAACTGAAACCCACCAAAAAATCCAAGAACTGGGCAGTCTGAAGTAGATCAATCAACCCTTTACCTTCTCATGCAATTGGCTGGTCTAGGACTGCATGGACGAACTCCAGGAAACCTTAGTCTTCCTCTAATATCAAGTAGAAATCTGTTGAATTAAAAATCTGCAAAGAAAAGAAGAGTTTCTTGTAGAAGAAGAAAAAGAGAAGAGAAGAAGTTGAGAAAGAAAGAGAGAGCAAATCAGATCAGGCCACCCTCTCCATTAGTATTTACACTTTAATTAAAAAGAGGGTACAATGACTAATATGCCCTTATAGGGCGGCTAACACATAAAACTGCATAAAAGACTTAAAAACATCACTCCAAAAGGGCCCCAACAAGAGTGTTGTGGTCCCCACTTCCTATCTAAACAAATAATAAACAAAAACAACTAATAAATCTGCACAAAATCCTCAACAAATTTAACAGTGGATATGGCTTTAAATAGAATGGATTGGTGAAACAGGATTCATGTAGCTGACCCATATAGTTGCTGAAGGCTAGCACCGGGTGCAAAATCATGGAGAAAGGGTTCAAGAATCATAAGAATGCACATGGTAGGGAGAAATTTGGATATTGTGAAAAAGAGCTTTGTTAGTAAGCCAACACCAGATCTGTGCAATAAAAAACCAGAAAATGCCAAAAGGAGACTAGGGTGTACCTCTTGAATAACATCCAATAACTTGGACTACAAATTACAAGCATGTTGAAAGATAGTCTTGAGGTTAGCTGGTTAGTTGTGCCATAACTATCAGAAACCTGATAGCAATGCCCATATCTTTGCACTCACCATTCATAAACAAAAATTCATTATAAATGTCTTAAATATGGGGAATTTCTGATAAAATGTCAAAAATGGTACCAATGAAGCCGAGAAAAATAAATTAAGTACATTTTCAATTCTTGATGCATGTCTAGCCCAGTGAAGTAAATCGAATATATTTAGATGTACTATGCATAGTTTGGAGAGCATGACACCATATATATACATGTTTAAACTATGCAAATTTGTTTTACTTGTAATGAATTTGTTTCAACTCTGGTTTTCAGGACTTGAGTTGTGCTTTCTTTGTTCAGTTATAAGCATATGGATATTATGTTTTAGATGTTTCTTTGTCCTGTTATGGTTTGAGTTTTGCAATTTTTTTATAAAGATGTATATGGTATGGGTTTCCAATCCATATGAGATATTTTAAGTGAAATTTCTTTTGCAGGAGTGCTTTGGTTGGAATTCTTGAAAGAGGTGGCTTGCGCTCACTTTATGCTGGGTGGGGTGCTGTTCTTTGCCGGAATATTCCACACTCTATCATCAAGGTAAGGACTATGATGTCCTTTTAGACAAATAAGTTTACTTTTCTATCTTGTAACAAGGTAACTATTTGAGATAACTTGTATTCTCCAGAGTTAATTTCTTTTCAACCTACTGCTTCTGTTTGACCAGTTCTTTTTCCTTGGTGAACAATTGTTTGTTGGGGGAATGTTGTTATCATTTTTTTCTCTCTGCAGTTTTACACCTATGAAAGCTTAAAGCAATTATTCTCATCATCAGACTCTAATGCCCATCCAACTACATTTCAAACGGTTTGCTTTTCTCTGTCCTTTTACATCAGATTCCATGTCTTGATTTTTTGGTCACATGACAACCTATAAAAGTAGTGTTTTGTATATAGTCTTCACAATAATTAGATATAGCTGATTGATAGCAATACCGCAATTATCAATAAATTCACTAGTCCTGTTTTGCTACTAAATCTTATACATCATATGCATTGAATCTGTTCTCATGATTTTTACATTCCTGCAGCTAATTTGTGGGGGGCTAGCTGGATCTACTGCAGCATTTTTTACAACTCCTTTTGATGTTGTGAAGACAAGATTACAAACACAGGTGTGTAGTTTACATATATGGGTTCTTAGTAGCCATGTCACAGGCCATTTAATGAACTTCATTTATTCTAGATTATATTAGCACATGCCAACTATATTTGCACTTGCCCTTAAGAGTACCATCTGCTGGAAAACGTGGGGTTACTGGTTCAGATCTGAAAATAAAATTGTATATATTCCTAGGATTGTGGAAGGATTGATTTAGAAAGTTTTTCTTTCTATTTCTTTCTTTCTATTTTTTCTTCTTTCTATTTTCTATTCTTTCTATTTTTCTTTCTATTTATTGCAACAACTTACTGTATAAATATGCCAATTGGCAATAGAATGAAACATATCAGTATTCTACCATTCCAAAACATGGTATCATAGCTCTAGGTTTGCCAACCTTGAGATTTTTTTTCCGGCCTTCATTGCCAGTTTTTTGTGTTTTTCTCTTCTGGCCTTTAGTGTTGATCT